ATAGAATTTAATAGAATTTAATAGAATTTAATAGAATTTAATAGAATTTAATAGAATTTAATAGAATTTAATAGAATTTAATAGAATTTAATAGATATTAAAAGAATTAAAAAGAATTTAATAGAATTTAATAGAATTTCTATTAAATTCTATTAACTTCTATAAAGTTCTATGCTTATTAATAGCTTTAATAAGCATATAAGGCTATAGAATAACTATTATTAAGCATAGAACTTTATAAAATTTAATAGAATTAATAGATTTAATATAAATATCCATTAACTATATCATTTAAAATTGGTTTTTTCTTTATATAATAATACTTTATATTATAAATATAATAACCTTAAACGTAAATCACTTCACTTATATTTATTACTATTATTATTTTTATATAATGGACTCTTTATTTTACGAAAGCGATATTTCAACTAACGCTTTTTCTAATAATGAAATTAATTCTAATAATGAATTACCTAATTCTAATAATGAATTAATTACTTTATCAGAAAACGACGTTGAAAGTACGGCAAAATCATCAATTAATTCAAAAGATTATAATAATAAATCTTTTCAATTAAATGATGAAAATAGTTCGATTTATATTTTAAAAGAAGGCTTATTTATTCGAACTTTATTACCTATTAACCCTAATAAAGAACGAAAGATGATTGTTAAATGTATAAGGTAAGTTATTTCTTTTTTTAAATATTTATTTTATGATATATTAAATATATTATATTTATTAATTACTTTTAGTTATCAATATTCGAAAACTGTTAAAGTTAAACGCTTTCAATCTTTTAATTTTGTTAAACATTATTAATTTAAACATTTAAATATTGCTTATAATAAAGCAACGGAAAAAACAAAATCAAAGAGTAAGTTATTTATTTATATATTAAAAATACTATACTAATATAAATATTAAAAAATATTATATAACTTATTGCATCAACCTTTTTTAATTTATAAATAAGAAAACGACCTTGAAATATAATTATATTAAATGAAAATATCGATGAAATTATTAATAATAAAATTTTAGATTTTATTATTAATAATAATTTATTATTTAATATATTAAATTCCGATTCCTTTTAAAATCTAATTCATTTTTTTAAGCTATTAGTTTTTATTTAACTTTTATTTAATAATTATATATTAACTATTTATTAGGGAGTTTATTATAAATCGAAAAACTATGGAAGCATTATTGGATTTAAATTTTTAAAGTGCTTTAATAGCTTTTAATAACGAATTAAAAGCTAATATTAAAAGTAATAAAAGCTTTTCTATTATTTTTAATATATGGACTTCGAATTCCTAAATGGCTTTTATAGGGGTTATTATTTTATATATTAATTCCGACTTTAATTTAATATATAAATTAATCGGATTTAATGAAATAATTAACCGTTATAGCGGGTTAAATATATTTAATTTTTTTTAAATATATTAAACCCTTATAATATTAAAATGAATAATATATTTAAGTATATTTATTATTTAATAACTGTTTTATATTAAAAAACTAATTATTTATATTAATATTACCCGAGATAACGCTAGAAATAACGATATATTTTTAAACTCTTTTTAAAGGGAATATTTTAATTCCTTTAATAAAGAATTTAATAATGATATTCGTTGTATTTTTTATATAATTAATTTAGTGGTTTAAAATATATTAAAATAATATATTTTAACTATTATAGATTTTGAAAATCTAATTAATTATATTGCAAACGGGGATAATATTGAAAACTAAGGGCATATAAGTAAGTTATTTCTTTATTTCTATTTTTATTTTAACTTTATTTATAATTATATATTAACTTTTAATAGGTTTAATTAACCGTATATGGCGAATAGTTATTTTAACTAAATATATAGCTGAAATTAAAGCGTTATTTCTTAAAGGAATTGATAAAGCAAAAAGAAATAACGAATTACCTTCGGATTATAAAATTAAAAAGATTCTATTAGGTATGTTCTTTTTTATTATATAATTAATTATATTATATTTATTTATTAATTTAATTATTAGATAATAGTATTCGATGGAATTCTACTTTTTGTATGTTAAATATGTTTTACGAATTAAAGTTGCCTTTAGAATTCGTTAATTGGTTTAATATAAATACTGAATTTAAACAAATATATTTAAATTCTTTAGATTGGTTTATTGTTAAACAATTAAAGAATTTATTTATTATATTTATTAAACCTTTAGTTAAATTATAAGCGGAACTTTATATTACTTTACCTAAGTTGCTATTATATATTTATAAAATATATAACGATTTAGATAACTTTATTTAATATTGCTAAAGGAAAATCTAAAACGATTCTTTATTAATAAGTATTTTCTTTTCTTATTTATTATTTTATTATATATTAATTATATTATAGGAATTAATTTTTTTTAATATTATTAATGTTATTAAAAATGGTATTAAAAAATTAGAAAAGTATTTCCTACGGCGTTTAAATAATGCAACAATTAAAAAATATAAAGCTTATATTTTAAGCTTTATATTAGACCCTTGGTTTAAAGTTAATTACTTTAAACCTAATGGGTTATTGCATTTTTATTCTAATATTGAACGAGATATTATTTGCTTATTTGAATTAGAATTTAATTCGTAAGTTATTTTCTTTAATATTTATTATTTTATATTAAATTATTAACTTATATTTAGATTTTTAAATATAATTTTATTTTTTAGTTTAGTTAATATAGATGAATTATTTAATTTATTTATAACTAATGAAATAGATAATAATTCTGATTCTGATTCTGAAAGTGAATTTTATATAAATTTATCTTTAGTAAATATAGAAAAAGAATTTATTATTTATTTAAAAGAAGAATTACAACCTTGAAAAGTAAGTTTATTTACTTTATATATATATATTATAATACTAATTTCTTTATAGGCTGATCCTTTGGAATATTGGAAAAATAATGCTTTTAGATTTTTAATACTTTTTATTTTAGCTAGAAAATACCTAGCTATTCCGGCTACTTTTGCTGCCATTGAACGAGTTTTTTCTATTACTAGTAATATTATTACTAAAAATAGAAATAAACTTAGTCTAAAAATGGTTAAATCATTGATTTTATTAAAGAATTGGTAATTAAGCTTTAATGAATTATATGATGAAGAAGAGGAAGAATTTAATAATGAAGATGAGGATTAAATTATATATAATTAAACTGGTATATAGTTTATTATTTTAAATTTCCTTTTTTATTAAATTTAATATTATAAAATAAGTTTTATAATTAAATTAAACTTAATTTTAATTAAT